AGATATAGACAGACTAAGATAGTCAGCAAGATATGGATGGATTGGAATAGCCAGCTAGATACTGAGAGATGGATTTAGTCAGCTAGATATATGTACACAGACTGAGATAGCAAGCTAGATACAGAAAGATCGGGATAGCAAGCTAGAAACAGACATCCTGACATAGCTAGCGAGATACAGAGTGTCTTAGATAGTGTGATAGATATGTACAGACTGAGATAGCCAGTGAGATACAAACAGATTGGGATAGCCAACTAGATATATAGAGGGTGAGATAGCCAGCTAGAAACAAACATACTTAGACAACTAGATACAGAAAGATTGGGAGAGCCAGCTAGGTGCAGACAGACAGAGATAGCCAGCTAGATATGGACAGATTGGGATAGCCAGCTAGATACAGACTGAGATAGCTAGCTAGATACAGCCAGACTGAGATAGCTAGCTAGATACAGCCAGACTGAGATGCTAGCTAGATATGGAAAGACTGAGATAGGCAGCTAGATATGGACTGACTTAGATAGGCAGCTAGTTATGTACAGACTGAGATAGATAGCTAAATATGGACAGAATCAGATAGCTGATAGCTATGAAAAGAGATAGCCAGCTTGATACACACAGACTGAAATAGCCATCTAGATATGTACAGACTAAGACAGCTTGATATGGATTGACTGAGATATCCAGCTAGCTAAGGGCAGACTGAGATAGCCATATATGGACAGATTGGGATAGCTACCTAGATACAGACAGACTGAGATAGCCAGCTATGTATGGACTGATTGGGATAGCCAGTTAGATGCAGACAGATGAATTAGCTAGCTAGATATATGGACAGATTGAGATATCTAGCTAAATATGTGCAGACTGATATAGCTAGATAAATATAAACAGACTAAAATTAATAGATAGACAAATATGAATAGAGTGGGATAAGTAGATAGATAAAAATGAACTGATAGGTTGGTAACTAGCTTGATAAATAGATATGAGCAGGTTCAGATGGGCATATAAATATGAAAAATCTGAAATAGATATGGATAAAGAGAAATATGAACAACAGATAGATACAACTGCTTGGTAAACACACTCTCCCCCCCAAAAAAGTGCATAAATATCTCTTTAGATGTTTTCCAGTTCTATTCACTGCCCTTATCCCTGTGTTCTTCATTTTAGACTTTGCAATTTTGCTTTTCCTCTTCCAGTTAGGTTTCCTGCTTCTTAGGCTTTTCTTTATTCAGTTCTTTATTTCCTCCAACTTCTCACCCAATTATCCATGGTTAGAGGTTCTGCTGAGGGCAGCTTGTATAGCAATTGAAAGGGAAAGGCTCCGAAAATTGTATACTGGTTTCTACTGTGGAATGTGGATAACTAGCAGATGACACATTTTTACTCATATGCACAATCTATTTATATACGATATATTTTCTGACATTTAAGTTACACAAAAAATATTCCAAAATTTACATTATGTATTATACCTCATAACTATGTTTGTGGTTCTCTTGCATCAGTCCAGTCCTGAGTATCATGAAATCCAGCATCAAGGTCTCTGATTGGGAGATTGGAGGTATTGAGGAGCATGAAACCACCTCTTAATTACTGTTGTTCCTAGGTCCACCATGGCTTGGAGTGATAGCACCTGTTAGGGTCCAAGCTATGGGCAAATAATGACCTCCCCCAAACCAAAACAAAACTCTATAAAAGTATAAAAATACATTTTATAGTAAAAATACCAGCAATACATTTTTATATAAAAATTACCAACAATACATCAATCAACATGCAAGAACTCTTTCATTATATTAATCCATATAATATCCTAAAATTTCTTAAAGAAACATGTATATGCACAAAAACTGAATATCATCTACCATGTATTCTATTGTGAAAGCAGATTAACATATACTTTATTACTTCAAAGCTCCAAAGAAATGAAATTTCAACATTAAATGACCCATGAGGAGTTGATATGCTGACAAACAAACAAGCCAAGTCTTGTACCAGTCCACAAAGCTTGAAGAAGTGTGGTCTTTGCCAACATCCACACACTTCATTCATTCAAAGTCATTAGTAATGACTGATCTGAGAAAGTAGTTATATACTGCAAAGAGTTTAGATATTTCTGAACAGGTTTGGTGCCATGCATGACATCTATATGCATGCCTCAATCTCATGAAGCTATTTAAAAAACAGGACTTGAGTTTTCAGGTTAATATTTTGAAGTTCCATGCTGTTTGTAAATCAATTGGCAAAATATAAACCCTAGAGATTTGGAACAAATAAAATAATGGTTTTTATCCATTCATATGCAAGATTCTAAGTTGTATTTTTATTAATACACTTATTACACAATGCTACAATTCTGATGAACATGTTTCTTTACTTGATTTGTTCCTTACCTCCTCTTCTAGCTCTTGTTGAACCTCGCAACTGTCCTCTTGGCAATTTGGATCACACTGTAGTATCTATTGATATTTCTTTTGAATCAAAATATAGTCAATTTTGAAAAAGAATGCTGCTGACTAGGCATGGTCACTTCCTTTTTTCTCTGTTGACATTTGAACTCTCTTACACATGCACATACACACATATGTCTATCACATATGCCTGTTTCACACACATGCACACAAACAAGTACGTTCTCCTTAGTAATTGTTAATGACAAGCATTGCCATTTGTTTTATATTATTTTATATATATGTTTTTACCCAGACTCGCATTGAATACATCAACATTCCAGGAGCCCATAAATATTTAATATCCAAATTGTTGATACCCACAAAATAATGGTGACTTATTTCTACCCAAACATACTAGTATCCTGCAACAAATGCTTTTTAAATATCTGTGACAACTTTATGACTAACCAATCAGGCAATGGTTTTAATTTGAGCTTTTCAGTTATTAATACTGAAGTCTTAAAAATATTTGATTAAGAGAAAAATAAAGTGCCTCTAAACCAGCAAGAAAAGGAATTTAGTTAAGATAACATCATGAATTATCAATATATATTTGATGATTTTTATTCATTGAACTCAATGTCACATTAAGCTGAATTATGATTATCAGTAAAGTTCTTTGCTATTTTGCAGATGGAATTCTAATTTTCTAATAAAACCAGTTTTTCAAAGTTATTTAACAGTTTTCAGATCATTTTCAATGTTTTGATAAAATCAGGGAAAAATAGTTTTAAAGTTTAACTCTTCTATTTTTTCTTTTACTAAAATACACCAGATGCATTATAGTGAATTACCCTCGTTTAAATACTCAGGTATTCCTGCAGTTAAAAAAAACAGTAACCCCCAAACCTAACCAATCAGAGGATATGACCAGATCGTGACAGCAAATAAGCATTACTAAAAATAATGTTTTTTACAAAAAAAAAAGGAACATTTATTGACATTTTTTTTAAAAAGAAACTAATTTACACAAGATATTAAAAATAAGATATTGATCAGTTTTCAACATATTTTTCTTAAATCAATTTTTTAAACATTCCTTTTGTATTCTATAGATGAGATATAAGTTCCATTCAAGCAGCTTCTTTCTACGAACTGCTACTTTGTGGCACAAACTCCCAAGAGGATGCTTCTCTGATTGCTACAATCTTAACCTGTTCAAGTCTATCATCGACAGTTATCTTCTCCACATATTTCCATAAACTGTGCCTCTTACTCTGTAACTTTCTACCTCAGTTGGTTCTTGGGCCTTTACAGGGTCAACATTCTTGTAAAAAACAAAAAATATCCTCATATTTTTGTTGTTTTTTATGAAAAATTTTTTAACTAATATATTTTATTGCCCCCTAATATGGTTATGGAATTTCAGTCAAAAAAGCAGCTTCATTTGAGGTAAATTTGCATTCAATATCACAGGAGCTTGTTAAGTCCTGCAGTCAAAACACTAGAGTATTTTTTCAACAAAAGCCACTGCAGCTAATCAGCTTTTTTTTTTATCCATAGTTCTGTAGCAGGCCCCCAGAGCGGCTCCATATCACACAGGGGTGAACGAGGTCACAAGAGGCCCGCTAACATTTCTGAAGACGTTAAATCTGACGGTGAAACAAGATGGACGACAGAACGAGGATATGTGATATATGCTAATTTATTCAGGGAAAGAAAAAAAAGTAAATAAAGATGGTCGGAAACGGTAGAGGTGCAGAAGTTCTGGTGCAGGCATTGATGGTCGAGGTTGGTGTTGGTAGTTGCCAGAATGATCGCTGTTGATTATCGAAGTTGATTGTTGCCGGGATGATCGCTGTTGATTGCTGCAGTGGATGTTGGTTGTTGGCAAGATCATCGCTGTTGATTGCTGCAGTTGATGTTGGTTATTGGCAAGATCATCACTGTTGATTGTTGCAGTTGATGTTGGTTGTTGGCAAGATCATCGCTGTTGATTGTCGAAGTTGATTGGTGTTGTTGGTTGCTGGCAGGATCATTGTTGTTGATTGTTGCAGTTGATCTTGGTTGTTGGCAGGATCATCACTGTTGGTTGTTGAAGTTGATGTTGGTAGGATGATCGCTGTTGGTTGTTGGGAGGATCATCGCTGTTGATTGCTGCAGTTGATGTTGGTTGTTGCCAGGATGATCACTTGGTGGTTGTTGAAGTTGATGTTGGTTGTTGGCAGGATCATCGCTGTTGATTGTTGCAGTTGATGTTGGTTATTGGCAGGATCATCGCTGTAGCTTCCAGCAATCTCCGGCTCACTCCTGCAGCGCTTCACTGACGTCCAGCAACCAGTTCCAACCTCCGGATACCGTTCCCGAAAAAAACGACCTCTGTCGTCTTTCCACCCACTGTTCGCAAATAAAGACACGATTTCTATCGTCTACAACAGACCATCTGCGTTTGTCATCCTTCTTTGCTATTGCCATCTCCTTGCCTTTGTGTCCCCTTTTTAGTTGTACGGTTGATTGGCACTCACACCTCTCGGCCCGCTGCAACAAGTGGTGACCCCGACGTGATCTGACTTGGCTGGACAATATGGCGACGCAATACCAATGAGGCATATTCAACGCTCAGCATCCAGCACTCCTGCAGCTCCCCGCAGTTTCCAGCTCACTCTTGCAGCTTCCAGCAGTCTCCAGCTCACTCCAACAGCTTCCAGCTCACTTCTGCAGCTACCAGCTCACTCCAGCAGCTTCCAGCTCACTCCTGCAGTTTCCAGCTCACCCCTGCAGCTTCCAGCAATCTCCAGCTCACTCCTGCAGCGCTTCACTGACGTCCAGCGACCAGTTCCAACCTCCGGATACCGTTCCCGAACAAACGACCTCTGTCGTCTTTCCACCCACTGTTCGCTAATAAAGACACGATTTCTATCGTCTACAACGGACTATCTGCATTTGTCATCCTTCTTTGCTATTGCCATCTCCTTGCCTTTGTGTCCCCTTTTTAGTTGTACGGTCGATTGGCACTCACACCTCTCGGTCCGCTGCAATAGTTCTATGAATTTCTTTTACACCATGATATCTTCATTAATTAAATTTATTTTTAATCAATTCATCCCAAGCATGACAATAATGCCACTAAGGTGCAGAGAATGAGAAGACTTTAGAAGGGACTGAAAACCCAATCCTAAACCAGGAACAAGTGATAAACTGATACTGCTGTTCAAAAGACCAGGGAGGGGTATGAACAAATTGATTTATGGATTAATAATACATTATTAGATATTATTAGAATTTAATATAAATTTATACTCGTTTAAATGTTTAAAGAAAAGAAATTAAAAAACCATGGATATATAATTCTCTTACTTTCATAGCTAAAATCTCTATCTAATTCATACATTCTATAAGACAGCAAGCAGATATTCTTTGGAAAAATGTGATTACATTCCAATGTGAAAAGGTCAAGGAAAATCTGACTGTAATGAGAAGAATTAATGAAGCAAACTGAACTTCCTTGAGAATCTCACTTGGTACATTTATGAGGGACATAATTGGGAGATTTAATGAGGTTAACATGGAATACCTGAGTATAGCTTTTACTGGATCAATTAGTTCATCAAAAAAATTCATTGTTACATAAACAAAATCTCCTTCTGTCTGATTTTCTTTGACTTTAGGCTCCCCTTACTTTCTCTCTCTTACTTTCTCTCTCTTACTTTCTCTCCTTTACTTTCTCTCTCTTACTTTCTCTCTCTTACTTTCTCTCCTTTACTTTCTCTCTCTTACTTTCTCTCTCTTACTTTCTCTCTCTTACTTTTTCCCTCTTACTTTATCTCCTTACTTTTTCTCTCTTACTTTTCCCTCTTACTTTATCTCCTTACTTTTCTCTCTTACTTTCTCTCCTTTACTTTCTCTCTCTTACTTTCTCTCTCTTACTTTCTCTCTCTTACTTTATCTCCCTTACTTTCTCTCCTTTACTTTCTCTCCCTTACTTTCTCTCACCTTACTTTCTCTCCCTTACTTTCTCTCTCTTACTTTTTCCCTCTTACTTTCTCTCTCTTACTTTCTCTCCCTTACTTTCTCTCTCTTACTTTCTCTCCCTTACTTTCTCTCACCTTACTTTCTCTCCATTTCTATATATTAGATACAAAGTTATAATAAAATTTTGTATATATAAATAGATAGAGAAAGAGAGTTTTAATAAAATTTGCTTATTATTGCAGAAGTCTACGACAGTAAGGTACCCAGTGATCTTAATGAGCATATCGCACACATACACATATGTGTATTTATGTACATTTTAAAACAAATAACAATTGAAAGAAAAGAAGAAAAAGTGAAAAAGAGAGAAGATGTTATGGAGTGAGTGTACAGTAAAAACATGATAAAAAGGACAAATAATCACAATATTCTACACATACATACATAAGGACACACGCAAACAAACACACACATGCCCACATACACGATGAAAAACTTGCACCGAGGAAAAGTGCAGATAAAAAAGAAAAATCAAGATGTATAAGCAGTCGATTGCTGATGTCCCCTGACAAGTGGACACAGTGATTCCTGGAGATTCTGGATGCTGAAGGTAACGGCTAAGTGACAAACCATTTATTTGTGTTAATTCTATACATACTTACATACACATATATAATATAATAATATTAACTGTTTGCTTATAAAAAACATTTGGTATTTGTTGACCAAGTAGCCAGTGTTATCCTTAGTTGAAATTTATATACAACTATACAAACAAAACTATAAACTCTATATATCAGACTAAGAGGCAATAATTGAATGAAAAAACAGAAACATTTCTATTTAATGCATTTTGTACTTTCAAAGATTTCTTCCAGCTAATAATAGCTTTATTGATGGAATCTTACATATGTAGTGTGAAGTTGTCATGTATCATGTAAATGTTGTGCCACATTGGACAACTGTAGCAGTAACTAACAAGACAAAATGTACTGTCTCCTTATCTATAGCAAACTATGGCTTGATTAACTGACTGTTAGTAACTGCAAGCACTATGCTTTGTTGAAATGTGATTGGTCACTATAAATAGTTACAAGAGAATTGACTCTGTATTTATTAGTACATCACATCTCCCATCTCAAGATATGAGAATTATAATGTTCATTATTAAAATGTAAAACCTTTGCATAGTATATATCATTAAGATATGATGTATGAACAATCAGAAAGACAGAATACCCTCATGCTCCTAGAATTGGCATCATTCTGGTCATTATTAAATTTCTGTTTGGAGTTAAATAGCAATAGGGAGATTCAGTTCCCAAAAGATTATGTCTGTGGTTGTAATTCCAATAGTTAAAAATCGGTTTTGCAAGGCCAATGTCAGAAAATACCAGGGCTGTAAATTAAAAGGGTAAACAATTCACATCACAACTCACAGTGAGCAACTACCACTTCACCCACAAAAAGTTAAAAACTGCCCTGTAAGCCAAAGCAGCATTTTCACACTGCTTGTTGTTGTATACATGTGTTATAGTTTATCTGTGTGAAACAAGTGTAAATGTTTGCATAGAATTTTGTGCATGACTTAGTAGTATAAGAATCTTTTTGAAAACAAAGCATTGCTTTTCTTTCAGCTATTTTGTTCTGTCCATTGTATTCAGGTATTACTATATAATGGATATAATAATGTTCATAATGGAGAAAATGAAACTAGGAAATATTCCTTTCTTGAATAGAGCCCCCAAAAGTTCTGATGTGGTTGTGATAATGTATGATCTTGGTTTGTCATATTTTTAGTGTCAATTGCTGGTGCCCGACATGTGTCACATAATTGTACATGTATACAATCACCTGGCTTCAACAATGTGATTTCTTTCCGCATGTATCCATTATAATAATTCTGTTGCTGATTTTGTCATTCAGCATATCTTTTCCAAACTTCAGATGGATTTTCTGCATATTGATAAAGTAAATGATGTAATGTGGGTAATAAATGTTCTTAGACAACAGCTCATAACAAGCTGTTCAGGAGATTCTCTAATTTTATTTATTGATGTTTTTCTTAGTTCTAGCAATAGATTCACAGGGGTATGATGAATCATCACTTTCTTTGGAACTTATTTCTGATACTTTTGAGTGGAATATACTGACAAAATGTTTGGGTCTGTAAGATTTCCCACAATTTTTTGTAAGTCTGTTGTTGTTTCAGTGAGTACTTTTCTGCATTTACCACACAAAATCTAACATTTAGAGTTGGTGTTGTGATATTGGGACCCAGCTTTCTCAATTTTCTTGTTTTTCTTACATTTTTAATTTTATCTTATTTTTTCAGTCCTCTGTTCCAATTGACATTTTTTAATTTGTTTCATGCTGACTTCTATTATTTTTTTTAATGTTAAGTCCAAGTGACAAAGTAGTAATTCATGAGTGTCTTTGTTTAGGATATCACATACAAGGTCTGATCAAAAAGTATCAGAACTGGTGCTATAAAAAGAAAACTACAATACATATCAATTTAGCATTTAATCTCCTGCAAAGTAGTCCTTTTTTATCCAACATTTTCATTGATGGAAGCATTCCTGTAACTCCTTTTTTGGGATAGTGAACAATTGCCTCATCACATTCTTTTGGATTTCCTCAATGTATTGAAATTTTGTTCTTTTCAAGTGGGATTTGATTTTTGAAGAGGAAAAAGCCACAAGGGGCAGGGTCTGGAGAATATGGTAAGTGGCAGACCTGAGGAATGTAGTGCCGGATCAAAAACTGCTGCACAAGCCATCGTTACAACAAAGAATGGAATGGAGCAAGAATGTTATAACTTAGTGTGTATCTGTAACAAAGTTCAATATCAATTTGTGTCAAACAGCTTCACTCTGTTACTATAGCAATAGTCCTGTTACTTATTGATCACACCCCATACAATTTTATCTCAAACTAATGTCTAAAATTTACAGTCCTGAGCATTCAGTTTTATATAAGTCAGAAATGAATCAAATTTTTATGAAGATAACTGGTTTCTGCTCAAAAATAAATAACTGTTATTTTTCTTGGTCAACAGTATTCTTGGAATTTATTTTTAATACATTGTATTTTGTTCTTGTCATCAGGGATTTCAAATTTGAATGAGTTGAAAATTTGTTTGACTTGTGGTCCAGCCACATGTAGGAATGTGAGGTGCTGTATAATCTCATTTTTTTCTATTAATCCAGGAATGTGTGAATAAAATTAATATTGTTGTTACCAACCATTTATGATTTTCATTCCAATTTCCTTCATCTAGACAGGGCCAACGCATGCTACCTCTGACCCCCACCACCACCGACCAGTGATTTTTTTTTTCTACTCACCATCTAGTCAACATTCACTTTTTCTACTTACATTTACATACATTACAAATCAAACTAAACGCAACTGACTATTAAAATATGAAAAATTTTCACAGATTTTAATGTTAGTCATTGTTTTGAGGTCATTTTTTCATCCAAATGTCAATTTGTTTCACTCATGCTAACTCTTGAAAAAACACTATATAAAATTCCCTATTTTTTTTATCCATAATGTTGAATATGTTAAAATTATTCAACTTTTAACAAGAAAAATGTCAAGTTGATGTTAAAAATTACCACAAAACATTGTTGACTTATTTAAGATGGAATGACATCTCGAATTTGTATTTAGACACATTGTATTTATTTTCAGTTTTTCTAGTTGAACTGTTCAATTCTGTTGCATATGATCCATTATTGTACATAATGAGGTTACAATAAAATTTGTATTTTATATGAATACCACCTTATGACAACTGAGGTTTAATAGAATGGCAGGGACATATCATAGATAGCAGAGGAGCATGCAAGCTTTGCACCAACTCTGCATCTAAATACATTTGATATCACAAATTTGAAAGTTTGAATTTAAAACTAAGCTTCAGTATTTCTTGATATAGAATTGTAACTGGCATTTGTTGTATTTTACCCCTATATATATATATATATATATATATATATATATATATGCACATAGTGCAATGGGTAATATGTTGCCATTTTATATTTTTAATTTTGAACATATGCACTGTTTATTTTTGATTTTGTTGACTTCACAGTATAGTAGTTAGTTGGACACCATCTGTGAAAAAAAGAGCACCATGACACAATTCACTCCACCAGAAATTTAGAAATGGCTGTACTGCTTGGCATTAATACCAGAAACTCCAATATAAACATTTTAATGTGTTTGGGTATCAATCTTAGGAGATTGGAGAGGATTTGGAAAGAGTTGGATGAGTCTAATGGTGATATGAAGGTATGTCAACTTGGAAAAGTCACTCTGATCATTATGATAAGAAAAGAACTCCCAAATTTATTGCTGAGGGCCTCAGACTCAACATGGAGGCTGACATCAAGTTCTTTGAGGAGGTAGTGCTGCCCAGGGTCAAGAGAGTGGCTGCTGGAAGAACCTATGTCTGGCAACAGGACTCGATACCATTCCAAACAAGCAGGAGTGCCTAATTATGGCTGTCAGACAATTTCTGTGAACACATTACCCCTTACATCTGGCCACCTAGCTCCCCAGACTGCAATCCCCTTGATTATTATGTGTTGTGTGCAGTTGAACAAGCAACCAACAAAACTCTTTGTAACACCAAAGATAAACTAAAGGCAAGGATTAAGCAGCATTCACCAACTTAAACAAGGAGACCGTCCAAAAGAGTTGTAGGAGTTTCTGAAGTCATCTGGAGGCTGTGGTTGAAACCAATGACAATTTTATTGAATAAATTTACTCTTTAATATATCAAAATATTTTTTTTAATTTTTGTATTGTAAATATATCTGTTAAAATGAGATGTTCATGTTATTTTCATTTTTTGTGCAATTTAGATGACAATTTATCCATCAAACCCTATATATATATATATATATATATATATATATTTCCTGATTTCAGGCAGCTTTTTGGATAATGGCTCTTGAAATGAACATATTGTTGGGTGTCTGTAGATTTGTGGTAGATATCTGTGATTATGTGGTTGTTTTTATTCCTAATGAGTATATCTAAAAATTGTAATTTGTTGAAATTATATTCTTGGGTGAATTTGATTTTTGGGTGTAAGTTCTGAAGTAGGGTGTAGAATTGATTAATATCACCCCATGGGGATTT